CGTGGTTTTTTTATGTGTTTTTTTTTTAAGTCATCCCTGTCGGGGCCCCGTCGAAACTGTTCGAATCGGGCCCCGCACTTCCTAAAGCCGGCCCTGCCCACATGATTTTTCCCCTGGGAACAGGAAGGAGACAGAGAACCACACCTGACAGATGACAGTCATGCAGCTTAGTGTACCTCTGGAAGGTGCTCAGATACCATGGTGATGCGTATGGTATAAGAACCAGAAGAGAACAGAACAGAAGCAGAATGCAGTGGCATCACATGACCAAAAAATGACAAGCTTCAAACTCAAACATGAATGGCCAGCATTGTGCCCTATTTATTGTGTAGCTGAGATTTCATCTGCAGTCTATGGGAGGCAGCTGTATGGGATACTACTTTTTTGTTTGATTTGATGCTGGAGGGACTACATTTTCTTTTTATAGCCATTCCCCTCTCCCCACAATAATCCCCACTGCAAGATTTGGTCTCCTGAGGAACCTCTCAGTGAAAGTAATGCCCATGGAAGCAATGGGTTCGCTTTAGTCACAGGCTCCCCCACAACTCATGCCTTAGCCAATATTTGCTTCTGATCAGAAACACTTAGAAGTTCAGTGATGCAAGGATGGTTGCAATGACAGTAGGGGTTCCTACATCCCTTTCCCTGGCACCCCCATCAACATTTCTTTCATCAGACCATTTTGCTAAGCAATTAGGGTCTGACCAAAAGCCCACTAAAGTCAACTTTCCTTTGACTTCCATGAGCTTTGGATCAGGTCCTTAATAAATAAGTAGATATTCTCAGTGTCACTCCACTGCCATGCTCAGTTCACCACTCGGAGGAGACACAGACTTTGCTAACAGTTACCTCTCTGATTGATACTCAACAGATGATAGAAAAATACATTAAAGCAATACACCATACACCAATAAAACAAATGAGAAAATGATGCAATCCAGTACCAGGGCCAGGAATGGAGCACCCACCATTAGCACCAACTTAAAAGGCATTTAAACACATGATGCCAAGAGTCCTGTCTTTCAGCTCCAAAGGGTTAATTATGCTTTCACCATTCGCCTCTGGAAATCTAGGTTTCAAGCTGCCTCAGGTCATAAATGTTACTTGGCATGAACTGAAACAATGCACCATGGATTCAGAGTGTGACTAAAACATTATACAACAAAATTATTAGTTACAACCCAGACTGTTAGCATCTTCTGAAGTTAGTGCAGCACAAACATTGGAGGTCCTCACTGTTTGCTTTTCTTAAGTGTTCTTTGCATTCTGCCTTTGACAGCAATTAGATTAGACAAAGCCAAATATTATAGGGGAAAAAGGCAAAATATTTACATATGTATCCGCCTGCCCTGACAGCGTGATGGGCTTCTGTGTGTGCCTGCACCATCTGGGCACCAAATGTACGCCCAGAATGAAAGTTTCAAACCAAGAATAGTATTTAAAAAAAGAAAGCTACCGTGGAAAGATCTTCTTTAAAAAAATATATATATATATCAACCTTCCTAGTGATGAACTTAACGTCTTCATGCTAATTTGTAAAAACATTCTACCCGCTTTTGCTCAGCTACATTCATGGTTCAGAAATTTTGGCAGAAAGATGGAAATTGCTTATTTGTCTGGAAATAATCTTCATGTTATCCGATACCTATCCAGAGAGAGGACTTGCCTAAAGCAGCAGCAAGGAACACAGATTCACAACTGAAAAAAAAAAAACCATAGTATTCCATTTATTAATATGTTTAAAGGAATGCAATCAACACTGATGGGCTGTGCTAACTTCTTGTGAGATGCTGAGCACCCTCCATTCCCATTGCTGTCATTGAGACCTCGGCACCTTGCAGCATCAAACCCTAAGACAAGAAAGAGACTATGACCTCAATTCAGGGCATAACTTAAGCATGTGCTTAAGTCCCATTGGCATCCATGGGATTTAAGCACATGCTTAACTGTTATCCTGAACAGGAATGCATTCCTCAACAAAGGCCTGTGTTTGCAGTGGTAATTGTTTAACTAAGATAAACAGCATTTATGATGAAAAAAATTGGCAATAGTTAGGCGAGTAGAATGCCATATCAGTAAATTCCTCCTGTGCCTACAGAATTTAAAAGACTACCGAGAATGTAGTTCAGAATATGTCAGAACCACATTTGATTAACTGTCCAACATACCTGAATTATTTCAGATTATACAACACTGACAACTGATGGAACACACTCCCTGTGGAAAGGATGTGCAACTGTGACTGCTTTCTACTCACCGTCACTGACAGACAGTTGTTTGCAGTATTGTGGTAGCCATGTTGGTCCCAGGATATTAGAGAGACAAGGTGGGTGAGACAATATTTTTTATTGGACCAACTTCGGTTGGTGAAAGAGAGCAGCTTTCAAACTACACAGATCTCTTCTTCAGATCTGACAGACAGGGCAGATGAGCTGTAATAAGGTCCACTCAAGATTTCCTGGTCAAATTTACAAAATGTTTCCTGTAGCCAGAGACAAACTCAAGGCATCATTCTGACCTTGCTTGCACAAGTGTAGATCTGAGTAAACTCCACTTCAGTCAATGGAACTGCACTGGTGTGAAACTGGTGAGAGGAGAATTCACCCTTAAACATCCAAAAGGGTTTTCTTTGTCAAAGTCTCTAATCGCAGCCAACAAAAAGAGGATTTTGTGCCGCCAATGTTTAAGTACTTCACAAGAGAGATTGCTCCCTTCACCCCCACAGATGGTCTAGCTCGTAATGTAAATTACTTCCAAGTCCTCTGAGTACTCATCCTCTAGTGCCCTGGGAGGATGACATGATTCACTACAACTGGGCCCAGAACTACTTCCCTCATGGAAGGCTCGCTGAAAATCCCTGCACTCATGAGGGCATGCAACTGTGGCTTTTCTTTTCAGAGAGAAAAGAAACTCAAACCTCTCCTTTTCATCCACTGAGGGAGGTGTCTCCACCCCATCACATTGACGCACAAAGATTTAATACTGCTACAGCTCACAGAGATTCACATTCAGTTCAAGTGACTGGGCCAGGGCTGGATTTACAGGCAGGCAACCCAGGGACTGCCTGGGGTATCGGGCCTGGCGGGGGAGGGGGAGGGCGCTGGGCCCAGTGTGCTGTTTTTGTTGTTAGCAACCAAAGGGAAAATAGAATGTTGCAGTAACATGTTTCAGATATTCTGTATGTGGATTCATTTTCCACTAACCCTCCTAGAACGTTCTTTGTAGAATCTCGTGGAACCTTCCAGACTTTCCGAGAACTACATTTTCCTTGAACCTCCTAGAATGCTGTCAGCCATGCCCTTGCGGGTATGTAAGGGGAGGGGACGTTGCCAATCAGTCAGTGAGATATAAGAACAAAGTAAAGTGAGAGCCCAGCTGCGATATTATGAACCTAGTTTTACTGTGTAATTGTGAAAGTGTACTTGTGTTTTAAAACTTGAAGCGTGTAGATAGTGACTAATAAAGGACATATTTAATGAGATGCCAGAGATATCTATCGAACTCTTATCTGCGCAACAATATAAAAAATGCTGTTACTTCTTTTGCCGTGCTTAAAACATGTTTGATGACTTGATGTTAGTACATTTCAGTTCTTAAAATTAAAAAGTTTCTAGAAGCTTAGAGAAAACAATTTTTATTTGCTTACATATGGCATGAACAACAAATTTACAGATCCTAGCATGCAAATTTATCATCTTGTATGACAGGATAAATCATGCATGCAAATTGTGCATCAAAGTAGTGAAATGGGCTACAAATGTAATAAAAAATAAGGATTCAAAAGTTTAACAAATGGAAAGGGGGCACCAAAAACACTCTTTGCCTGGGGCACCAATTGGTCTAGGGCCAGCCCTTGACTGGGGCCAATGTTTGGGGGAGAGGGGGGGGGGGAAAAAATCACACTGAGTGCGCTCTTTTTCCAATGACCCTGAAATCTATGCAGCCGAAGTGAATAATACGGATGGCCACTGTCAAGACAATATGGCTACAGAACTGTTAAACTAGGAGATGTAGCGCATCCCATGTTCCCCTTGTGGAAGGGAACCAGTAGCTGCTGTGCTGGTTGCCCCACACACTCGCCCCTGGCAAAGGGAGGAGCCAGGTAAGGGGTGTGTCAAGGGG